AGAGGAAAAAGATCTAGATATCTTGCTATACCCATCTGTTAAATTCAATCTAGTGTGCACCAGTGTAGAAGGCTAATAAAATATTGGCTTGTGTCAAGGGGCATATTATATAAGTCTAAGCATACTGTGCTGATATTTTATGAAGTAGTGTTCAATTTCAGTCCCTTTCTTGAAGAAAAATGTGGTTACGATGGACAGAATACAGTGTAAGGCAAGGAGAGATTAATGGAATGGAGAGTCTTGCATATGAGGAATGATTGACAAAACTGGGACTCTGCCTTGAGAGAAGGCGATTTAAGAGGTGACATGACTGAAGTATTAAATTAGCTAAGGATTATTATAAAATTAGGCATGATTATCTGTTTGAGGGCATTGGAAAGGCCAGATCTAGGGGACATTGGTTTAAAATGGGAGAATATATGCAAAAAAATGTAAGGAGTTATTGTTTTAGAATGAACATGGTAATATAGATGGAACAAAGAGGGTTCTTAAGTCTTTCCAGGTTGTGCTTGTGAGAATTTTTAGAGCAGTTGCAATTATAATTGATTACTATAAATATCAATTACAATGTATAGATGCTTCCACCAGGTGGCTTTTAAGCACCTTGATTAATTCAAAACTGAACTATAATAAAGCAAAGGCACCTGGTCTCTTACTCTGTGATCAAAAACCTAATTCTACATACAAACATCACTCAGACACCAAACTAAAAAGAAAACACAGAGCCGTGCCCTAAAGGGATGTCACTCTTTTGGGTGTAGATTTGAACAGCATTCCTGAATAATAGACACTCACAGGAGACATCCCTGCTTCATACTCTTGAGCTCTTGTGTGTCAGGAGTTTCAACACTACCTGTCCCAGTTTTACATAATAGACCAAATTATTTCCTGTGGAGTAACTTGTGTTTTGGAAAGTTAGGCTATGTACAGAGAACCAGGAGTATTTGTTTCAGGATTTTGTAAGCTATATGTTTTATAATGTTTGGAAGTTTTTTTTGGTTGGCAGTTGTGCAAAAATACCCAAAATAAAAACTTCAACACCCCCCCCCCCAACCTCAAGATTTGATTCTTCTACTTTGGATTTGTAACCCACTTGAAGTGCCTGATGCTCTGAGCCCAAACTGTTAAAAATCGAAATAATGCCTTTCCAAACAGCAATTACAAAACCATTCATGTGGATGTACTCATCACACACTAGTTATACCCTATCACCCACACACTTTACTGAAAAAATATGAAAAGTGTGACAAAGAGGCTAACATACCTGGACCTTAGGAGACTAGGATCAAGTAAATCTCAGAGGTGAGGGGTCTCCTGCCAGTAGTCTCCTTCCACTTAACCAAGAGGACTCTAGCTCAAATGCCTACACCGGTCACAACTGTGGCGGTGACAGGCAGTTATGTAGGTACTCAGATCTCCAAAGTCTCTGTCCAGTGACATAATCAACAAACTATCCTTCCTCCTCTGCTATGGATACCATCTGACCATCCTCTAAGTCAGTGGTTCCCAAACTGGGGTTCGTGAACCCCTGGGGGTTCACGAAATGTTACAGGGGGTTGTCGGGAAAAAAATCTCTAATGGCGGATAGAGCGGTCCCTAGGGACCCCGGGCAGCACGGGGCCAGCAGCCTGGAGCCCCTAGACTTCCAAGAGCTAAGCAGATCAAAGCAATCATATCTATCACACTGAAGAGATTTAAACTTCAAGACTCCTTACAAAAAAGGGAGGTGGATATTTTTTGCTGTTTTTAAAATTAAATAGGGAGCTAGTATTGTTTTTAAAATTATTATGAAGAACAAGTTTAAGCTTTGTTGTAACGTGCGTTGTTTGCCTGGACTACTCAAGATCTGAATGCTTGTGTAGGAGGAACTCTTTGAGTTGGCTTCTTAAATACCTTCATGCTGTTTCAAATCTGATACTCCTTTATGAAACATAGGAGCCTTGTCTTATAACAGGCTTATTCAAAGTTATACAAGCTACGAAAGTGAGATCTTGGAAGAGTGTTGCCGTTTTCATAATGTAATAAAAATACTGTAATGATAAATTATAGTTAATAATAAATAGTGTGTAATAAGCATGTTATAAAAACAAATTTTATATTTCTAAGATCACTGCTTTTATAATTTATACTCAGGTAAAGGAGAAAATCCCTGGAAATATTCATTTTTAGGAGGGGGTTCGCGAGACTTGACATTTTAGTAAAAGGGGTTCACAGGTTGTTAAAGTTTGGGAACCACTGCTCTAAGTCTAAGTTATGATCCTTGTTGACAAATACGAACTCTCTCAGTTGGAAGTGTTGGTGTCAAGCTCACTACTATTCCACCTCCAGAGTGCAAATGAAGTGCTATTCTGTGTCAGTAAAACCAACACAAGAGACTTTAGGTGGGGAAGCAAAACTTCATATTCAGGTAGAACTGCCTGTGAAATTCTAGGTAGCAGTATGTAATTACCCAAGTTGGAATTCAGTCATGATGTCCACATTAATGCCATACTAGTGGCAGGGGATCTTTAATAGCCACAAGTCTTCAGGACATCAGCTTTACATTTCTCCTGAAAGAAAGCACATACAGTAGCACAGTGACTCCAGAACAATGCTGAAGCATGGATTCATTTGTGGATTGGAGAGTGAAGAATTGCAAACATTCCTTCCTTGCGTGTCCTGGGTTTTCTTGTATAACACTACATCCAAGTACTGACCAGATGGGACCTTAAGTCACTTGAGATCTGATATGCTTCCTGAGGTCGCAAGTTCATCTAGTACTACACAGGGTTAAATATTTCTAGAGCTATGTCTGCACAAGGAAATCCGTGTAAGTTAGGAGCTTAAATACCCCTGAGGATCTGGCCCCAGGAGTTTTGAAGGACATGTACAAAACTATGCCATGCAAAAATTATAATAGAATGCCTGAGGTGGGGAGCCTATTTTCAAACACTGGCATCTAACAGGGCATTTGAATCCTACATTTTGGAAGTAAATAGACACTCATCAAATAGCTAGTTTTACATCACAAGTGCTAATTTTAGGATACAAATGTGGGATTTATGTTCTATTAAATTACTGTTTATGTATAAAGAGGGAAGTGAACGTGCTGCTCGTTTTTCCCTTTATATCTAAGCACGTAAAGGTAAAAAAACCCTAATGAATTAGTTTCACCACAAATGAAAGTGTTAAACATTAATGTAGGAGGCTTGGATTGGAGTCCTTTCTAAATGTTAGCAAGGAATGTGTGACTGTCTAAAATGCCTGTCCAAGCTGCTAATAGGAATGTCGATCATGGCATATGAAAGGCAGTCTGGCATTTGATACAGCTTTGCATTTTTAAAGCAGCTTTATATGTACATTGAATCTTCCAGAGCCACATTCACCTTTGCAAGTCCTCATGAACTTCAACATGTAGATTGCAAGGGTAACTTTAAAAAAAAAAAAAAATCTTGGTTGGGGGAAAAGTGTTCTAATAGCCCAGTCGAATTTTTCAAAGCGTCAGTGATATTTTTATCTTGCTTTACTTGTAAAACAATCCTATATAAAGGGGAAGAGATCATCTTCAGGTTATGGCCCTGGATTGGGGTTCAGTTCCCAGCTCCTCCACAGACTTCATGTGTGACCTTGAGCAAGTTGGTTAATCTCTCTGCCTCATCTGTAAAACTGGGATAATATTGATTCCTTCCCCCCCACACACCCCTCTGTCTTGTCGATTAATATTGTAGATTGTTCAGGACAGGGAACTGTCTTTCGCTGTGTAGGTAAAGCAGCAAGCACACCAGGGCCCTGAGCTCTGTTGGGGCCTCTAGGTGTTACTATTAATGAATAAACACAGCCCCTTGCACTAGAGATAAAATTAAGGGATGAATATGTTGGTAGAATGTAAAAAATGAAATCACTGGTACAGTAAGTCTGCTTGGTTTATTGATGTCCGAGTATGTAGAACACACACAAGTACTCAACAGTCTTACGGTTTTTGATCAATTTGTCATTCTGCAGGTTTAATTAAAATGGTTCTAAATCAGCCAGCTCTGAAGTTACAACAGTCTCGTGTTGTACCTTGCTGGCTGTGTGTATTCTTAATATGTTCATTAAACTGCCTGTAGCTGTAAGTGTTTTTCCAATGAATACTTAGGCAGACTAAATCCTCCTCTTATCCTTCATGGAGGTCTTCCAAGGGGTGTTAAGATATCAGATTTTGGCCCTGGATTGTGGAAAGTTTTGTGCTCCACTGATCTGGTCTGTATCTACTGTGACTACGTAAACACAGTGCTTCCCTTTCCTGTAAATTCCCACTATTGTGAGCACTAAATCACACTCAAGTGAACAGAGATCGCTGTACCTACACTAGATTCCTTCTTATTGCTTAGAGTTTTGACTGGAGGATATTAGAACTCATGCAGCTTAAAGAAGTGATAGCAACAGAAATGGGAGTCCTCTCCTTTCCAGCAATTTAAATATCTGCCAGCGATGCCAATAGAGAATTCACCTGATCATAATTATAGTAGCCTGAGAGCTAGCAGGATAGGCTTTCTAGGGCAGAAAGTTCAGCTCATTCATCGAGCAAAGCACTGCTTGTCACTTTAATCCTGACTCACCTGGATGAAATCCATCACCCCGTCACACTCAGATGGATTGCACACAGTAAAGTGGCTTAGAGATCTTGAAACATTTGCTGACCTGGCTGAAACTGCTGAACTTGCGTCTGTTTTTTCTCATGGGATTATTTTGCTCCATGTTGCATTTCAATGTAATGTTGTTTTAGAAAGTGTCAGGATTGCTAAGGTTCATTGCAGCAATATCTATAGCTGCAAGGTATGTGAGGATGTGATTAGTAGCAGTAAGTACTTGCAGTGCCTCCTGGAAATTCTAACACTATATATTTCCATATGTGGTTTTCCTGATAAACTATAGCTTTACAATAGTGAACTGTTAACAAGTCCCAACTCTGCAATGACTTGTTTTTTTTCTTTTCCCCTAGGGAGGACAGTGCTATATACCTGTCAGGACTGGGTACCATGGGATTGGAGATATATGAACAAATGCCAAAGCTGGATGCAGTGATTTTCCCTGCAGGAGGCCACTGTGGATTGCTAGCAGGATCAGCTGCTGCCCTCAAACATCTCAACCCACACATTGCTGTGATTGTAAGTTGTTTTCACCTTTCAACTGTGTATTTTGAGAGATTTATCCTCCTGTCTCACAGGCTTCAGAAAGGTTCTGTATTCTACTAAAGTACTGGGAATGAGTCTGTGTACACTATAGACCAAAGTTATTGAATCCCATGGTCATCTTCCATGAGAACGCTATTTTAGAATTTGGGCAGCCTGCTTTGTTTCTTGGTTAATTGTTTGGGTTTTTGTTAACTATGTAGGAACCTTTTTTAAAGCAAATAAGACCAAACTCTTCACATCTAAAGTTTTAACTGACCTGTTTTGGGGCTGTTTAATGGATTTAAGAGTGTTTATTTAGCTTGTTTGAAACCTGTGTGATCTTATTAAAAGTCTTTAGTTGCCTCCAAGTTTTAGGACACTGTAGAATTCTTATTTGAAAGACCTTCAACTAGATAGATCCCCAAAATAGTATGGAGATTACTTAATCTTTACTCCTGGAAGGAGCAACCTATTCAGGTTAAAACTGAGGTCTCTTTGGATTGTTGTGAAAATTTGTCCATAAAATAAAACATTCATCCCAAATTATACACAGAATAACCCCTTCTGGCTCTTGGTGTAGAAATTTCAGCTAGCAGCTGTTGAAATTGTAAGTGGTGGGATATAACAGACAACATATTTCTGGATGATGCAAGGTTGCTTGACGTTGCAAGGTTGAATGACTTTAGCCACCCACAAATGTATAATAGCTATAAAAAATTACTACCTGGACTGTTCCTAAAGATGGGCACCAAACTAAACCTTAAATGCAAACACCTCTGAATTTTAAGAAATTGGAATCAAGAGCCAAATTTTTAGGCTCTAGTCCATCTCTGCATATTGGTGGTGGTGGTGATTATTCATTATAAATTAGATTTATATATTAAAAACATGGGGATAAGACCTGAGGTCTTTGGTAATTTTTTACTCAATCTTGGGAGTTTACCTGAATAGAGAACTCTGAACTTGGCCCAAGGGAAAAACAAACCTATACTGAATATAATGGAAACTGGTATGAATCATTGACGAGACCGAAATCTCCAGAGGACCATAGTACTCAAGGCTGGAAATGTATATGATAATATTGATGCTATTCCATTATTCCCCATCCCTGGGCAAAAGGCTTGGGCACTACTTAAGACCTATTTTGAGGACTTAAGTGGCACATGGGCCTTGTGCTGTCCCTGTGCATCAGGGTGAATTTCACCCTGTTTTTGTATGTGTCTTATTTTTTCCTCATTTTGATGTAAAGTCTGCGGAAAATGAGGTGATGCCTGTTGTTTAAGATAGCTGGTGCCAGTGTGTTTTCTTCTTAGGGAGGGATGTAGTAGTCCAATGACTTAATTGTCCTTTCTTTCTTTGACACAAAGGAACTGTTGGATTAAACATACATTTTTATTTATTTATTGCTTGCTCCCGTTACAATAGAACTTGATGTTATTTAAAAGGAATCTTTTATGACCAGGTGACAAGTCAAAAGGAACAATTCAGACTCCTTTTATGAGCTTATTCTCTCATGCCAAAAGTGATGAGAGATTTAATTTGATCTATTTGGAAGAGTTTAGCGACGAGAAATTGTAGAGGGACCACTGTCAAGGTAAAATCATAAATTAAAATCAACACACCACTTTATCCAGTTAAAATAATGCCCTAGACTTTTGAAAGGTTTTTTATAATAAAAACAAATGGCGAATATTCAACTAAAAGCAAAATTATAACTCGTCTGTCATCTTGTGTCAGTAGGATTAGATTAGTCAATTTCATTTTGTTTTGTACCAGTACAGTGCTGCTGTGTTTTGGGTCCCCATGTAGGGAAATGGTTTTGATCCTTTTGAAATTCATGCAAACATTTCATTTTAACCTATTCCCATCCCTTTAGGTTTTCTTAAAAAAAAAAAAAAAAAAAAATTTGGGCCTTTACCAAACAGACAGTATATCTTTAGTACGAGGGAACAGCTAAAATTTAATTGGCAAAAGAGGTTCATAATGGTTGCTAATCATGATGACAAACTTTGCCCACACTTTTTACAGAATTTGTTTCCTTGGTGTTGGTGGTTCCTGTTGTAACTTGATCTACATAGTAGTTAAAGATGATTTTTTTCCTCCTTTCCCAGGGTGTTGAATCGGAGAGTTTCCCTGTTTTACAACAATCATTAAAGATAGGCCATCCTATTGAAGACCAGGCCTGTAGCAACCATCAGTTTTATGGAGGTAAAAGTATGAAATCAGACAATAAATGTTGTTATGGATTTCTACAATCTGTGAATCTTCTTTTCCAGTTGATCCACATCAAGTCTAATTGAAGTGAAGTGTCTCATTGGAATTGTCATGGTTTAATAAATGCTGCTAATAGCAACCCACGGAGCTGGACTTTACAACATGGATGCAATAATAAAACTTCCAGATCCCGCATTTTGATGCACAAATGAACACTTAGGGACATAAATGTATTTATTTAGGGCCACATTTTGCCAGTTGTATCACAACTAGTAATACCTTATTCCACTGAAATCAATGGGATAGCTTGCAAAGTAAGACATTAATCAACATAAGGGTGGCAGGATATGGTGATTACTTACTTAGATGTATAAAACAACACGGCAGCAGCATTTGGAAACGGGGTTCTCAGTTTTGGGGTTTTGTCATTTAATTTTCAGAGAAACCTGAATATTAAAACAAACAAAACCCCCTGTTTAGCTGATTTTTTCAGAGCATCTCCTGCATTAAGCTCAATGAGAGTTAGAGGTCAACACCTCTGAAAATACAGCTGTGTCAGCATGAAAAATCTCTACCTCCTTCTTAACAATCTCTCCCTCCCACCTCACGCACGCTCTCATATCAACTTGTGGATATTCCGCCACTTAATTGAACTAGAGATACCAAAACCAAACTTCTTCTTATTGTTAATAATCCCTCCCGCTCTATACTCTCATTTGTTGACCACCCCACTTAGCCACTATGGCTCACAAACTTGATGTCCTTTTCAACTCCTCATATTTATTTATAATATATAATTCAGGTGCTGTTGCACAGTGAGAACCACATAATCACTGGGTCATTGGAGTCAATGGGACTTTGCAGGCGCTGGGGTGCAGCTGTATGGTTCTTACTGCAGGACTGGGGCCTTAGAGTGTAAAGTCTTTGGTCTCTTATGTTGGCAAACTACTTTTATTTGGATACAGAAATAACAGGTAATTAAAATATATATATTTTTAAAACTGCATAATGGCAATGTGCTGTGTTTATTTTATTTCAAAAAAAAAAAAAAGGAAGAGCGCAGGGCTCTAGGCAAGTTTGGACATCACTAAATAGCCAGCTTCACTTTTAACGTGTTGCTTAAATCTGCAGATATGAGTGGACCTTGCTTTGGTACCAATTCTTTGCAGTTGACTGGGAAGCTTGTAGACAAGGTTGTTACCGTGAGGTAGGTGAAGAAGAACAATGTAGTGAATGATGTTGACTTGAATGGGTATTTGTAATTCGAAATACTGTTGTACGTTAGAGAGGGGCCATGTAAGCTCCTCCCGGAGGGCCTGATCAATCCTGACTTCCATTGAATTCCATGGTTTATCGATTTTTCAATTAAAGTTTCAACTGCTTGGAACTGCAGGATCAAGCTCTGAGGTCCTGAGTGAACTCTTTGAAGTCAGGAACAGTTTTTCTATTGATTTTTCTATAGCTCTTAAATGGGGAGATAACCTCCAAGTAAGTGACAATAATACATTATGTTAAGTAGCATTTATCTTCCCATCTGCTTTGGCATTCATTTGACTGTATGGCCTTCAGCTTTATTTCATATAGTGTATTTCATACCAACTGTATCCCAAGTACTTTCAGGGTCATAAATAATATTTTCGCAGTTATATATTTTAAAATGGGAAAGAGGTATCTAGACACAGAAGCAAAGGAGAGAAGTGCTTTTCCAGGTTAAAATGGGGAGAGACAGGCAGGGGAATAAAGGGAGGCTCTTCCAGATAACAGGCATTGTGGCTGACTGTATGGAATTTGTAGCTGATGTTTATCTGATGCAATGCTATTTACCCTAATATATGATCAACCCATGGAACAAATGTAAGCCAGATCCATAGCTGGGGTAAACTGGCCAGTTGAGGATCAACCCCTATGCCTTTTTCAGGGCAACTATGCTTGCATTATCTAGCTTGAGATAGAGCAGGTTCTCTTAGTGACAGCTGGATGAATAGTGGGGAAAATTATTCCTGGATGTTTAAGCTAATCAAGAGTCAGCCATGTTCATGAACCATTTATGTTAATTTTCTATGAACGTTTAAGCCCTCCAACTTTAGCAGTGTGAATATTGACAAAAATTGAACACGAAGCTCAGGTGACTTTTGAATTGTATATTCCACTGTAAAATACACAATTCTGTGTGGGTTATATAATCACCCAAACAGAAACAATGCCAAGTGATGTTTGTATATAAACAACATAGCATAAATTGCAAATATTAACAATCTGAAGGCCAAGATTTAGGTGTTAATGAAATTCATGAATAATTAAGAATAACACAATAAAGAGAATATTGGTGGGAAAATGGCAAAATGCGCGCGTACACATAGTACCTTTTATCCAAATATCAGATGCTATAAACAAGCCCTATCTTACAATCGTTATTGACATGTTTTGGTCCCAGGGTAGCAAAAGGGCTACCACATGTGAGTAAGGACTTCACCCATTAGTTAAATTTGGTCACCTTCATGGTGTAGGAACAGCCCTTTAGTAGCATACAGCAATACTATACAACAGTGCAGGACTGACTTGGATAAGTTGTTTTCCATTGGCTAACAGCAGGGGAAATTTAGGTAGGTGGGATGTACATAACCAACTGGATATTTAGCCTGGATGCTGAGGCTAAAGCCCCTACTCTTGCAAAAAATACCATGCGGTCAAGACCTATTTTCACACCCAGCAGTACGATTTCCCATAATGCTATAGTCCTAAATAAACCCACCAGAGGGCCAAAGAAATCCCTTAATACATAAATATCTTGTCTTGTCCCATTAATTCTTTTAAATTCACTCTGTATTTGTTCAGTTTTGAAACTGTTCCTTTTGTCTTCAGGGAAGAGGACATTCTAATTTCCATGCTGCGGTTGCTGGAGTATGAGAGAGCCACGGTGGATGCGGAAGGGGCTATTGGACTTGCAGCCTTAGTTGCTGGGAAGCTGCCAGAGTTAAAGAGTAAAAGGTACAGCATCTATAAACTAGCTATTGCAAACACAGAGCTTACCAAGGAAGTCACATGAAAGAGAGTGTGTGCGCACTCTACTTCTCAGACACAAAGGGGTCTCTTATTCTCCTTTATTCTGAATGTTGAATCACCCACTACTGTCAGTGGGACGCTGCACTAGGGACAATTTGCTGAAATAGAGAGAGAAAGAGGGCCGGACCTTCAGCTGACATCCTCTGTAACCAGGGGCAAAAGTAACTTAAAAGTCTTACCAGTACAGGGGCCTGGCTCCGGGCCCCCATAAGGGGCGGGGCCTCAAGTGGACAGGGCAGGGCTGGGGGTCAGCCTCTCCCAGCCAGCCCTTCAGCATGGCCGGGCCCGTGCCACCCAGGGCTCCAGCGACGATTTAAAGGGCCCGGGGCTCTGGACACTGCTGCAATGGTGGCAGCTGGGAGCCCTGGGCCCTTTTAAATCACTGGGCCCTGGGGCAACTCCCCTTTTGCCCCCCCCCCCCGCAGCCCAGGAGGAGGGGGGCAAAAGGGGCAGCAACATTAAAGCGCTGTCGGCTGCATACGGGCCCATTCCAGCACCCATTTCTTACTGGTAGGCCGGCCCGGCCCACTTTCACCTCTGTCCGTAATAATCATTGGAGCGAAACAAATTGATCAAAAGGGTTCAATCCTGCAAGATGTTGAGCACTCTGGCCCCACGTCAATCAGTGGGATTCTGCATGTGTTTAAAAATGAGCATATGCATAAATGCCGCCTTGGATTCGGGTCAGGATGTTCAGCACCTTGCAGGGCTGAGCCCAAGCTCTTGGCGTAGCCCATAATGTGTGTGGGTTATTTCAGTTTTGTTTTTTCATTGTGTGGGATCTCCTCTGGACAAAACTGCTGTATTTGGTCACTTTGTAGGCTCAACAAGAGAATTATACTGGCAATTAAGTTATGGAGTAGCTCCTAGAAAAGATGAAGTGCAATAAACTCAAATAGAGCGAGTCTGTAGTGAAAGAGAAGAAGCCTGGAATTGGGAGTGAGGAGATCTGGGTTCTGCTTCTGTAACAGTGCCATAGACTAATGTGTGACTTCAAACAAATCACTTAGATTTCAATAGAGGTAGGCGCTTAAATATGATTGAGGATCTGGCTCTTAACCTCTCTGTGGTCAGTCTGCAGAATTGTGATGAGACTTAATGTTTATATAGCACCTTGAACGCATCACCCAAACGTTCAGTGGGCTTTTTCACTGTTACTAAAGTCCCTCACAGTGGCTCTCAGAGGGGTGGTTCCACTGAGCTGGGCTTAATACTACTTTGCGATTGCTAGATGGGGGTTGCTTAATAGTTATTGATTCATTTTACTTGACAACATCGGTTGGTATTTTGATGGTACCCACAGATATCTGGGGAGGCTGGATATTCAGTCCCACAATTGCCTACAGAAAATACTGGACAATGGTCAGGCAACTGGTGTGTTGAGACCACTGCCTATCACGAGTACCAGTATTGTCTCATTGTTACCTGGTGCTCTTTGTTGTTCCTTAGATTGCAAAGGGCTCTTTGGGACAGAGGCCTTCTCTTTTTGAACAGTGCCAAGCACAACAAGGCCCTGGACAGTGTCTGGGGCTCCTAGGCACGACTTCAGTACAAATCATCATCCCAGTATTCTACTAAACAGAACTCTAAACTGTAACAACATTAAGGCCTCTAAAGCCTTAACTAGTCCGGGACGAGCCTCACAAGCTACATCTATGCTATGAGGTAGGTGTGTGATTCCCCTGCTCGTGTAGATGTACATGTGCCAGTTCTCATTGAGCTAGCATGGGTATAAATAGCAGTGTAGTTGCAATAGCAGGGGTAGTGGCAGCGGAGGCACAGCTGAGCCATGCCTAGTACAAGCCTGCCTCAAACGGTGATTACGTACTCAGCCCAGCTCAGCCGTGCATCCACTGCAGCCACCCGCGCTACTGTGGCCACGCTGCTATTTATACTCGTGCTAGCTCGATGAGAACTAGTGTGAGGATGTGTATGTGAGCAGGGAAATCACACCCTTAGCTCATAGTGTAGAGGTAGCCTGAGAGAGCACCTCTCTCCCTATGACACACTGCCACAGGTCTGGTCAACAGAGGCACTGATATAATAGAGGGGGTGTGGCCGACAGTTTGTTCTCATAAGGGTCCTGGGGGCTCTGGAATGCCCTCCCAGCTCTGGACTGATAGATGCTCAGGCTCAGGGTACACTACAGCTCCATGACCTTTGAAGAGCAGTGAGAGGATTTCAAGATGAATGTGGGTATTGGTATTTAACTATGAGCTGCTGCTTGATGGGTGATACCATAGTGATGAGCACCATAGAAACTCCCATGAGGAAATTAGTAATTCTGTCTTGAGAGAAGGGTTTGAATAGTGTGCAGTAAATAGGGCTTGGGGACTGCACATTGAATGAGGAGAAAACAAAATATTGAATCGCTACTTATTGAATGAGCACTGTCCATCCTGTGCACTGAATGAGGCAGGGGTCTTGTAGAAAAAATAGTCTGTGGCCATGTAATTAAAGATGGTAGCATAATCCATACACATAAATGGCTGAATTAAGATTGCACAAGCACCTTAATTCTGGCACTTCCTAACTTTTGAGTGCTTGACATTGCAACGCTCATAATATTCTTGTCACTTGGTCTTTCTCTGTGTAATTGTATATAAATTAAATGGAAATAAATATATCCCCACTGAGCATATTCAGCACCTCTCGCTGTCTTGGTCTTACACCAGTGCAGCTCAACTGCTTGTAATAGTGGAAGTGCTAATGTTGACACAGCACAGACATTTTTACTCCCATGTACTCTATGGAGCATGGGCTCCATTCTTTAAACAGGAGCAGGAAAAGGAGCACCTGTGGAATGTCACTGGTGGAAAAACTCCAGACTCAGTGAGCTCCCCTCCAGGGCAGGGATATAATGAATGTACACTTACATGATGCCTTTCATCTGGAAGCATCCCGCACTACTTTGGAAGGCGTGTACATGGCGTCTCTCACACCAAAGAAATGCAGCCATATCTGCATTACTCTCTAGTATGACAATTCTATAGGAATTTCTTTGCATAAACAAGAAGGAAATAGTCCTGTTTGCTCTTGTCTTTCAGAGTGGCAATCACTATATGCAGTGGTAACTTGGAGCTACCTTTGATGAGACAGTGCATAGATCGTGCCCTGACCCTTGACAACAGAGTCTGCAAATTTTCCCTCCTTCTCTCGGACTGTCCAGGAAATATTTCAAAGCTACTGGAGATACTGACTCGGGAGGAAGTGAGGTAATTCAGAATCCTGTATTTATAGCCAGTATTACACTGTTGAGAAAATAGCACAATGGACTCAGTGTTTTTAAAGACTGTTGCATGCTTATAAGTGACAGCTGAAGGCAAAGGGAGTAATCCAGTGGTTTACACAAATGACTAAAGTAACCCAGGGAATCTATGTATATAGCGCTGTTGTAGCCTCTGTCGAAAACCTTTCCCTGTCACAGGCGGAACATTGGTATGTGCCCTCCATAATATGTCTACAACTCTCCTGCTCTGGGTGGCTCATCAATGTTGAAATGTAGAATTTCATTGCTTCTAGTCATTGCGAGGCATCTACTTTTATTAAAACAAATTTGAATTGCTTTCTAAGGCATATTGTGCTAGTCTCTCTCCTAGTCATTTTAATCTCTATACTAAATGCTTCTCAGAAGCATGAAACAGTATAGAGTACAGGGCAAATCCTGCCTTCTGATGTAAATGCAAGTCCTGTGCACACATACAAAAGCTAAGTTTGGCCCTTAACCCTATAAATAAAATACATAGTTGTTAAAAGCAGAGGCATATCTATTGGTGAAGTGCTAACAAAACTTGCAAACCAAGTGACTCCAAGGGGGAGTATTTGGGAGATGCAATGGAGAATGCAATTGAAAAAACTCTTCAGGGTTAAACTTCTACAAGGTCTTTCAATGCTGTCTAATTTTAGTGTATTATCTCTGTTCCTGGCTGCTCCCATCTAGCTGTTGCACTTTGGTTCAACTACGCATATCCATTTGATTGCTGCTATAAATTTCCCAGATATGTGCTAACAATCCATTGATTTAAATGGAATGGTAATAGGATGACAGTGGTGCAGCAGATGTCATGAAGGGCCAGTAGCTATGGGACTAAAAGCATTTTAGGGATGTGAACAGCCTCTGCTATGACCCCATATTTATTTCAGCATATGAATACGGTTTGAAGTATATCACCCTTCTTTCCTCCAACGACACCTGCATGAATTTGTTTATTGCTCAAACACTTACAGAAAGCATTTGACAATGACAAGGATTTGCCCTGCTCTTTAATTTATGCTTGGTTTGTTCTAGGGTGTTGGACATCAAACAAGAACACATGTTTGTGATATCTGATCTCTTCACTATTAAGGTAAGGGGGGGAAATGCAGTTTGTCACTTCAGCAATGCTGGCCTCTCACAAACTTGGTTGTAATGGTAATTATAGAGAAGTTAGGACTCTTCTGCCTTCATATATCTTCACATAATCATGTGGGTTGATAAGGCATTGTAATGCCACCCAGCAGAAAATACAGACTTTGGAAGCAGGATGTTAGATAATCAGCAGTACTCTTGTGTTATAGGACAACTTAATCACTGCGTTCTTAGGCATATAAATAATCCATGAGTAGCTTCTCCTATCATTGAAATGCAGACAGTTCTGGGTGAAATACTGCAGCTATTGGTACTGCAGCGCTACGTTGGATATAACATTTCTGGACTGGAAGTGATGAGCAAGAGCATCCAGCTGAACTTTCAGGAGGAATCTGTAGATTGAGTGTAACTACCCAAACTTGGGCCAAGACCCCCTCTATGGCTAACACTGCTATTCTTAGGCCAAGTGTTATGGAATCTTTGATCAGAGGTGGGACCTCAGTTCTGCACTAATTTTTCTGTTTTTGGCTTGCTGGAAGTTCTGAAAAATAAATCAATGAAAGAGTCGGTTCTAGACAAACCAAAAATGGTGAAAAATGTTGGCCCATTGAAAAAAATCCGTTTCCAGTCAAACTTTTAATTTGACCTGAAGGTTTTGTTCTGGGTATTTTTAAAGGGCACAAAATGGCCAGAGAATGTGGTGGTGACGGTGCCACTGGCCTCATTATTATTTTTTAGCCTAGTGGTTATAGGGGATGTGGGAGACGGGGGTTCAGTTTTTCCCCTTTGCTTGATGGGGAGAAGAGTTTTGAAAAGGAGTCTCCTACATAGCAGGAAAGCGCCCTAGCCACGGGGCTATGGGATAGTCTCAATCTCTCCTGTTGAAGCTATTCCACTTTGTATAAATAAAGAGTTATTGGAGCAGGGACTTGACCGTAGGTATTCCACATCCTAGATGAGTCCTCTCACCACCGGGCTGTTGCGTCATTCTTACTCATTCCTTGCCTCAATCATTATTCACTGTCACGCACAATTGAATGATGTAGCTGAAATCAATGGGATACGTTTGATGATCTGAGCTCTAGGAGCCTTAAGTACTTTTGAAATTTTTTACTCTTCAATTGGACAATATGGAGTCATCTTTAAAGCCCCTCCTAGTTTTATCTTTTATATTTTTTAAACTGAAAGCTGGATTTTGCTGCCCTTGGAACCCGAGGTTTCTCAATTAGCTTTTCATGAAATAGTGCTTACCACTTATTTATGTTGCCAGATAAGTTGTACTAGATCATCTTTCCTAGTTTCTTGGCAGAGAATGCTACAATAGTTTTCGTGTCTATTCCAATCTTTTCTATGGGGCTAGTGCATCAGAATATTGAAACCAAATATACTCTCTGACCAAAAAAAGTGTGCCATTGCTCATGTCTGCTTTTAAACATGATCTATTTTCATAGGCTTTCCGTTCCAGTAGACTCTCAGTTGTACTGCAACAGGATTTGGATGGCTATCTAATCTAAAGGTTGAAGTATTTCACAAACTGAATGATCCTGATGATGATTTTTAACAGAACTGGAAGGGGCTGGAATACCTTTGTGATACAATTAGAGATAAACCTGACCTGGAAAGTTGGGATCCAGACCAAAATATCCCAAAATGTTTTGAGGTTTTTTTTTTATCCAATGCATTAAAGTTAATCCTCAAATTTAGTAGTTCTGGATTTTTTCCTGAATTCTCAGAAGTCAAAAAGTAAAAGTTAGGTTTTCATAGCAACTTTAATTCACCCACATTGCACATACTTTGTATTTCTTTTCTTCCTGTGTTGCTCCTGCTTCAGCAAAGCACTCTAAACATATGCTTAGATCCCCAATCCCACAAGGATTTAACTCTTTTCAATGTGAGTACTGTGAAATTGGAAGTGAATTAAGCTAAATTGAATTAGGCCACTTTAGGTCTGAATGAGTGTCCACACAAGGGTTTAATGCAGTTTAACTAATCCACTTTAAATACACACCTTTTGTTAAATCACACTAACTTTCCAGAGTGTTCCTGCATAGACAAGCACTGAAATACATACTCACTATTGTAAATACAGATGTGGGATTCTCTGCCTGAACTATGGAGTTAACGATGCATGTAGTGGCTCATTCAGAGAGTTAAATCATTCCAGTGCTTAATCTTGCCCAGGATTTACTGTTTCATTTCCAAGTAAGAGAAACTTGGCTTTTACTCACTGTTTACATCATCATGATGGGATTGGCTGCTTGTGTTTTTTAGAATGTGCAAGAGTATCTTCTGGAGCTCTTCTGTTTTGTACCTCTGATTTAGATGGTCTTTACTAGTGTGAGATTTTTGTCTTGCAGTAGATTACAGATCACTGGTCTGGCAGCAATAGCAGTGTCACCAGGAGCCACGTCATGTTGAAGTTGGTAGATTTGAAAGACAAGATTTTTCAACTGTTAATAGTCCTTGGCAGGTTAGAAACAACTAGGAATGGGCAATTCCCCGAAGGATTTGTTTTTATGTGCACCTCGTGTTTACACCCTGCAGAATTTGTTTATAGAGGATGGTAGTGAGCCATTTTTTGTGAGTTTGGTTGCAAATATGGGTTCTAGACCTGAAAGACTATCCCCTTCCCCAGACTCTCCCCTCTCTGCCATTCCTTCCCTTCTACGCACGAAGGCCACAGATCTCTTCTGAGGGCTGAGAATCCTAGTCCCTCTCTCTTCTGGGGTATTTCAGAGAGGGAGTTTGATTTTTCAGTGGGAGTTAGGTGCCTAAATGCCTTTGAGGAGCTGGGTCCAGGTGACCACTTTGGGACTCGGAGAGGGAGAAAGGAATGTTTTCCCCACTGTTCCTAGCCTAGGTTCCACATTGGACAGTAAAGTGTGTCTCTGTGGGTCTATAAAATTCAGTGGCACCTTGGGAAAGGAGATCTGGGGCAGAAGAGAGTGGTCAGTGCCAACATAGAACTACAGTAAGAAAAATGCAAAATCTTAAAGCCTCCCGATCGTGCTAGGCAGCAAAATTGAAGTAGTAACATCAAGGAGTGAAAACCATTAACATGCTTCCTCCAGCTGTTTTGATTGCTCCGTTTTTGATATGGTGGGGTGAGCTGTTGAAATGATTAAACGAAGCAAATATCCACCCAGTTTCCAAAGGAATGCGTTTGATCTCTTTGGGTGCTAACGTACTGGCATGACCTGCTTCACACTAGATGCAGTTTGGGAACATCTTATAGGTTCTAAGTATATAAAAATATACTCTTACCAAATCATTTAAAAAATCTAGCAATCCCTTCCTGTTTGTGTTGACATTGAAGAAAGATGGACAATCAGCAATAGCAAGCTAAAGTCTGGGTCAGACCCAGGGGAGAAATGGGCCTGCATCACTGTGGGTTTATAGACGGGGGGGAGGGTGTCTCTGAGCTTTGGAAGATATCTCCTAGTCAGAGGGCGAAGTACTGCTTCCCTAATCAACTAGTGGTAGCTTTTCACAGCTGCTCCCTTTTCTAAATCAGTCTAACTCACTGAGGGCTAGATTCTGATCCCCTTAGGCTGAATACTGCTGTCCACCAAGACTAATCCTGTGGAAGTCAATGGACTATTTGTGGCACAAGCTACTATTCAGTTTGGGTAAGCATTGCAATCTGGTCTGAGTTTCTCTCCTCCCAACTATTCCCCCAGTATCCAACATCGAGCAGTTTCTTGGGTGAGTTGCTTCCTCCACCTCCTCTCCAATCTCCTAGCAACCAGGGAGCAGACTCTCTTCTTTGGCATAACTGAATGTCAGTCAGCGGGTGAAGAACTTTAGAGGGGCTGTGGCTCTCCCTCAGTAGCTTGCTTCATGGATCAGTCAGGGCAAAGAAGGGGTCAGTGTTCAGAGGGAGTGATTTACAGTGGTGGGAATAAACAGTTTGCCAGTAAGTCTAAGCATGTGCTGAAGGGTGAGAGGATTGGGGGAGGGGGGTCTTAAAGAGAGAATATGATTGAGTCAAGCTCAAGATCTTGTTCTTTACCATCAAGATGTTCGATGACCAGGGCTCAGCATATTAAAAAACAGCCTAAAGCTCTGAGATGGAGTGTGGTCAACAACTTGGCTTCTTGGCCACAATGAAATCTGCCATAAGGGTAAAGCTCATCTGTGTGGGAAACAGACTTTCTGAGGAGCTGGTCCAAGACTATGGAACAAACTCCCGCAGGAACTAAGGACCATCATGAACCTCCCCACATTCCACTCTAAGTGCATTTCTCTAACCTGCCTTCTCCAATACAAACACAGAGCAGCATGCGTGTATAAAAGAAAACCCTTCCAAGCCAAAGCACTGCCCTGCACACACAATTCTCCCCTTGGGAAGAAGATAACAGACAGGTACAAGAGTAGACCTTGGCAGGGATGGCTTAACAATATCCAATGCATGTGGTGAATTCCACTAACTAAGGGCACAAATGTCCCCACCAGCCCATTCTCCTTCAATTGACATTGGATTTATGTACTTATAAAATGTGGCTGTAATTAACAGGCTGTGCATGATCCCACTTACCCAAGTAAACAATGTTATCGTTAAACTTTTATGATACAGAAGACACTACTGAGAGTGCAATCTATTCCATGCACATCTGTAATACTCCTCTAGTCTAGGTGCATATTTCTCCCAAATAGATATGTCATGAGTCTCATACACCATGTACTGGAGCAAAAAAGCAGCGAGTAAACAAAATCAAAGTGATACAAAGCTGAAGGAAAAAGTAATTTTTACTACCGGGCTACTCAAGGCTTTGCTACAGATCCATAGCTTGTCAGCATATGGATGATCAGAATCCTGCTTGGCTCCAGGAAGAAAAAAAAAGCTTGGGCTCCTCTGGTTCCTAGTGAACACTTGTCCTTCTCACAAAAACCACAACACAAACTGACAGGACTGGCAAACTCATCAGAGCACCAGGAGTAGAAGGTCTATACTGAGGGCAGTTTAGCACAGAGGGTTCTATCAGCACTTCTTCATAGTGTCCTGAGTGCTGTTTAGTTTTCTGTCCATCCAACTTTCACGGGAATTAATTCAGCCAAACATGGAAACTAATAATAATGATAGACTATAGATGCTACTTTGCCAATCAATCTCTCTCTGCTTTTCTGGCAGCAAAATCTTAAGTCAACTGTTGCTCCCCATCATGCAGCAGGTGCTGGGAGGGATGGGGAGGAGTTGATCAGTGGGGCCTGTGGACCCCCTGGAGTGCCCTCACGGACCCCCAGAGGTTCATGGACCCCAGTTTGAGAAACGCTGCTCTAAAAAATCCCTCCATCTCCAGTTACTTGTAGGCCTGTTGTATGTTCTAAAGGGGAAAAATAATAAAGCCATCTTCAGACTGAGG